TCACGTAAGGTGATTTTGACGGGTGCCTCTAAATCCGCCGACCTTGTCGGCGTGTGCGAGGGGCTTGTCCGTTCAAGTCGTCATCTCCGTCATTTGTTTGTCGTCGTCTCTGTGCTCGTCGAAGCTCCCCCATTTCCCTGGGCTCGTCGAAGCTCCCCCTTTCCCAGGGACCTCCTCAGCGCGCCAGCCAAAGCGAAGTTGAGCAACGTCGTAAATGAGTCGAAGGGAAGCCCCTTCCCTTCGATTCCTCCCCCGCCGGGGGGGGGGTCCCAAACGGCCGAAGTGGGCCCCAAGACGGCCAAAGACGCCTGCAAGACGGCCCAAGAGGCCCCCAAGACGGCTCCAGGAGAGTGCCCAGACGGGGGACCCGAACGGACATTTCGAGCTCTCGGCCCCAAGAGGCCCCGAAGAAGCCCCAAGAGGCCCCAAGAGGCTCCCAAGGGGCCCCCAAACTGCCCCAAGACAGTCCAGGAGAGCCCTAAATTGCCCAGGAGGCCTCCAAGAGTGCCTCGAGACGGCGCAAGAGGAGCCCTGGACGGCCCAAGACGGCCTCAAGAGAGCCCCAGGCTGTCCGAAGAAAGCCTCTGGCCTCCTCCTCTTCCTCCTCCTCCTCCCTCCTCCTCCTCCCTCCTCCTCCTCCTCCTCCTCCTCCTCCTCCTCCTCCTCCTCCCCCCCTCTGCTCCCCCTCCTCCTGCTCTCCTCTGCCTCCTTCTCCTACTCTTGCTTCTCCTCCACATCCTTCTCCTCCCTCCCCATCCCTCATCCACCTCCTCCACCCTTACTCCACATCCCACTCATCCTCCTCCCCATGCCCCCACCCTCGTTTTCAATTTCGTCGTTCTCAGGGTCGGCGGCACCGGCCGTAAGGCCTTCGCAACATGTGTTGTCCTTGGATAATGAATTGCTGGGGCCTCGTCTTTCACTTCCTTCCCCCTGCCTCCGTAAGTGGGCGGGGTGAGGGGCGTTCGTGAGGGGACGGGGGTGTTTTTAGATGAAGGTGGTGCCGTTCCGATTGTATCTCGTTTCATGTGTGTTCCCGTCTCAAACTCTCCCTCCCTCCTCTCGCGCTTTCGCCTTGTTGATTGGTCTTGGGGACTTGGGCTTGTGTGGGCCAGCTCGCGTGTCGCGGCAGGCCCGAAGGTCCACCCACCAGCGTATGACATTCGCCTCAACATCATGGATGAGGCCTCATGCTCGGGGAAAATGTTTGGTATGATTTAGCTGGCGCCACCTTCTGCCGTCCCCTCTCTCACGTAAGGTGATTTTGACGGGTGCCTCTAAATCGTCGTTGTAACCCCGCTCGTTTCCCCTTCCCCGCCTTTCCCTGGTCATCGTGCTGTTCCTGCTTCTCCCACTCCAACTCCTGCTCCGACTTATTCTCGTCCTCGTCCTCCTCCTTCCCCTTCCTCCTCCTCATCCTTTTCCTCTTGTTCATCCTCCTGCTCATCCGCCACCTCCTCCACCTCCAATGTGCGCAGCTCCCCTTTTTCGATTGCGCATGACACGGTGGGGTCCTTTGGGACTCGAGGTCCCACGAGGCACGCGTCAGCGAATAGAGAAAACGTCGGCGCACTGGGAAGGGATGAGTGGGATGAGTAGGATGTCAGATATGGCGCCAGTGCACTTAGCTTGGCCTCCTGCTCCTCCCCCATCCCCTGCCGCCTCCGCCTCCGCCTCCTCCTACCCCTCCCCCTCCTCCTCGTTCTCCTCCTCATCGCTTTCGTCTTCTTCCCTCCACATCCGTCCCTGATCCTTCCTGCCTCCGACTCCTCCTTCCGCCACCTCCTCCCACCCCCTCCCGCCTCCTCCTCCTCCTCCTCCACCTCCTCCTCCTCCTCCTCCGCCCCTCCTCATCCTCTCCTCCTCCATCTCTTTTCCCTATAAACAAATCCTCCGGGTGTCGCACCCCCAGACTCGGGGATCTTCTGACCCGGGTCAATCCAGACCTGGGTCAGCAGGAAACCAAAAACTGCAATGCAGGAGAAAAAACTGCAACGCAGATCTTCGCAAACCCGGGTCAGCCAATATGCGCGGCCGCATCGCGGCCACGAGCGGCTCGCTAACCCGGGTCAGCCAGAGGGGGTCTTCGCAGGATCCTGCAGAATCTGGTGCCCTAGCTGACCCCCGTTTGCATTGACCCCCGTCTCAAGGCTCACGACAGACTTGCCAGCATGGCGGGCCGGGCATTTCAGCTGAGACTACCTCACCACTGATCCTGAAGCTTGCAAGTTGTATCAGCTTCAGGGATGGAGGGCGGGTGATGTTCAAAACTTGGTGCTCGCCTCAACGCAACGTACTTTTGTCTTTCAAATTTGCAACCGTTCCAAATATGGAGGACAGGTCGGCTTCAAAATGCAGCTGTCGCCTCAGCGTCGCGCAGATTCGTTTATCAAGTTTGCAACAGCTTCAAGGATGAAGGACAGGTCTGTTTCAAAATGTGGCTACCGCCCTAGCGCCGCGCACATTCGTCTCAAAAGTTTGCGGCAGCTTCAAAAAGGGATGGCGGGTATGTTTCAAAATGTGGTTCTCGCCCGAGCGCCGCGCACATTCGTCTTGAAGCGTTTGCAGCAATGTCAAGGATCCACATGTTTGAAGCCCCAGGAATGTTCGTTTTACAAGATTTAGACTTTTCAAAACGCACCTATCACGTTGATGTGCGGCGTTGAACTCCTGGGAAAAGTTTTGGCACGATCAGGGATGCTCTAACGAGGCACTTCCCGCAATGAAAAGAAGTTCTTGGATTTACGAAGAGGGAACTTGGAGGGAGGCTGTAGTTTAACACATCGTTGATGCGCCTTGGGTTCACACTGGTCCTCCTCCTCCTCCTCCTCCTCCTCCTCCTCCTGCTCCACTCTCTTCCTCCATCCTCCTCCTCGAGATGGAAGAGGAGAAGAGAGGGGGAGCCTTCTCTTCGCACGCTCCCGCGTCCCAACACAGACGCGCGGCGGTTCCTCGAAGGCACCAACAACGAGCTCCCGGGCGAACAGCTGGAGGGAGCAGAGCAGGCGGTTCTCCGAGATCGGGTTGGCCCTGCAAGTGGAGGGGTGGAGAAGGAGGCGGATGGGGGAAGGAAGGGGGAGAGGGAGTGGAAACGGAGTAAGAGGAGGGCCCTCCTCTCCCTTACAAAAAATACTCCACGCTGCAAACCCAGACGTGTCCGCAGACTGAGCCAGGCGTTTCGCACGAGACATCTTCACTATGTTGGTCCTGCAGCTTGGAATGTATAACTGCTTCACGGACGGAGGGCGGGTGATGATCGAAATGTGGTTCTCGCCCCAACGCCGCGCACCTTCGCCTTCAAAGTTTGCGACGATGGAGGACAAGTCAGCTTCAAAATGCGGTTATCGCCGTAGCGCTGCGCACTATCGTCGTCAACGTTTGCATGAGCTCCAAGGATGGAGGGCGGTTCCTTTTCAATATGTCTCCCTCAACTGAGCGCCGTGCACACTCACCTTCGAAGTGTACAGCCGCTCCACGAATGGAGGCGGTTCCTTTCCAAAATACGGTGTTCGCCATAGCGCCGCGCACATGTGTCTCAAAAGTGTGCGGTCGCTCCGACGGTTCGTATGGTTGAAGTCCCAGGAATGGTGTTAGCGGCACCATTCAGGATTGTGAGGACGTAACCACCACGTTCGTTTGTGGTGTTGAAGTCCCAGGAAGAATGTTGTGGCACGACTTAAGATTGCCCGGACGCCACACATACGTTGATCCGCGGCGTTGTAAGTCCCAGGAGCTGCAGTCTGGTACGATTGAGGATTCGCAGACGGCTGTCTTCCGATGGGTCTATCCCCGCATCGAAAAGGTGTTATTGCAGGGGCCTGTGAAGAGGCAACTTGGAAGGAGGGCGTATTGCAACATCAATGATATGTACTGGGCTGACGCTGGTCCTCCTTCTCCTCCTCCTCCACCTACGGCAGGTTCGTGTCGTGCCGACCCCAGCGTTGGTTTTTGACACCGCAGGGATCGTTCAACCTTGAACGATCGGCCGCTGCCGCAACGTCCGATCGTTCAACATCGATCGATTCTGGGTCGCCGGCGGCGTTCAACCTTGAACGTCCGCGCTGGGGTCGCCGCTGGTCGACACGACGCAAACCTACCGTACCCTCCTCCCCCTCCCCCCCCCCGTGGCGCCGACCAGGCTCACTTCCCAGCCACCCCTTCCCCCTCTCACCCGCCCCGCCCCCACCCGCCCTCCCTCCCGTTCCGAGGCCACCCCGAGCCCCCCCTACACCTCGTCCCAGGCCGTCCATGAAGCACCCCCAAAAAACTCCATAAGAGCCTCCTGCAGCTCCAGGGCAGCCACAATCCTCTTCTTGCTCCTCCTCATCCTACTCATCCTCATCGATCTCTGATTCTCATCTACCCATCCTAATCCCACTCCCTTCCAGCCTCCTCCTGCTCCTCCTCCCCCTCCCCCTCCTCACCGTCACCCCCCTCCGCCGTCCGTCCACCCTCCTCGTCCTCCTCCGCCCCCTTCGAACGCCACGCGCGAACACCATCAGTGAAATCAGAATTTCGAGGCGATCCCTAGGTACAATTATTGTACATAACATGTTATACGTATACATCTAAATTTACATTGCTATGTTGTTGCGCAAACTGAATGTACAATTATACTGTATACCTAAGTATATACGAATACTATACACGTACCTAGGGAACAACCCGGAATAAGGAGTTCCCTGATGGTGGCGACGTCTGAGGCGGCGTCCTGGGCCTGCCTCGGACGGCTGGGGTTTGCAACGGATGTCGGCGGAAGTTTAGACATCCGTTGCAAGGCTCTGGGGCGCTGTCGGGGCGCTGTCGGAATGCACGCTCTCGGGGCATCTCAGGCGGCGTCTTGAGCCTGTCTTGGGCGGCTGGGGGTCTGCAGCGAATTTCGGCGGAATTGTCGAAATCTGATGCAAGGCTTCGGGGCGCTGATGGGGCGCTGTCGGAGCTCTCCCGGGGCCTCTCAGGCGGCGTTTTGGGTCTGCTTGGGGCGAGCGGAGGTCTGCAGCGAATTTCGGCGGAATGGTCGAAATCCGTTGCTAGGTTTTGGGGCGCTCCTCGGGGCGCTGTCGCGGCGTCATTGGAGCCTCTCAGGCGGCGTCTTGGGCCTGTCTAGGTGGGCAGAAGCCTGCTGCGGATTCGACGGAATTATCGAAATCCGTTGCAAGGCTTTGGGGCGCTCTGGGGGCGCTGTCGGAGCGTTCGCTCTCGGGGCATCTCAAGCGGCGTCTTGTGCCTGCCTTTGGCGGCTGGGGTCTGCAACGGATTCCGACGGACTTGTCAAAATCCGTCGCAAGGCTTTTTGGGGCGCTGTCGGGGCGCTGTCGGAGCACTCCCGCAGACGAAATCATTGGCTTTTAAAATTTCCGAGGGGGTCACCGGCGAAGTCTTGTTTTCCGGTTTAAATAATTTCTTAAATTCTTGAAACAAACGAAATTCTGTCCAACACACAAACAATGGATTATGTTGGAATTCTGATGCGGCAGATTCATTCCGTTTGTATGAAATTTCAATAGAATTTCTTGTCTTGCGGATTTCGATGGGACTCCTTGTGCCGAAGGTTTCAATAACATCCTTTGTGTCAAGGATTTCCATGGGATTCCTTTTTGTACAGAAAGTCAATGGGATTCCTTCTGTCGGGGATTTCACTAGGACTCCTTGTGTCGAGAATTTTGATAGGACTCCTCTTGTCGAGGGTCTCAATCGGATTCTTCTTGTAGAGATTTCAATTAATCTCGTTTTGTAAAAGGGTTTCAATGGAATTCCTTGTTTAGAGGATTTCAATAATAGTCCCTTTGTCGAGGATTGCAATCGGATTCCTTTTGCACACCATTGATTTACACATTGATTTCTTTGTGCGTCAGATTTACCTGTTGATTCCTATTGTGGAAGATTTACAAATTGATTCCTTGTGTTGTGGACTACCACGTCCATGTTGATTCCTTCCGTGGCGGGTTTACAAGTTATTTTTTTGTAGCGCGTTTACATGTTGAGTATTTGTGTAGCGGGTCCGCAATAGAAGTCCTTCGACGGCGGATTCGTTGTTCGGCGATACGTTTACGACGGCGTCGACGACCAAAAGGGGCCCCACCCACATGTTGAACTTGTTCCCCCCGATGGGGACTACCACAACACCCCGTTCTCGCTTTTCGAGGGCGGCCGCGCCCGAATTCTCGATCTGCCTGGTTGCTTCCTGGCGTTTGAACGCCGCCCGATTGACCCTCCAGCCCCCCCCCTCGAGTTCTCGAGACCGCTTTTCGAGGGCGGCCGCGCCCGAATTCTCGATCTGACTGAGTGCTTCCTGGCGTTTGAACCCCGCCCGATTCACCCTCCACCCCCACCTCTCGAGTCCTCGAGACCTGCCTTTTCGAGGGCGGACACGCCCGAATTCTCGAGATCTGCCTCCATGAGCCGAGCAGCCCGAGCACGGCAATGTCAGCAGACGAATTCGCGGTCGGTGCGGTGCTGGAGGCGAGGGGGCAACGACAGCGGAGATCGGACTGTCCACCACCACTACCACAAATAGGAGGGAGGGAGGAGGAGGAGGAGGCGGAGGAGGAGGAGGAGGAGGAGGAGGAGAAAGCCTCCCTATCCTCCCTTCTCCCCCGTCCTATTTATGGTAGTGGTGGTGGAAAATCGGCCCGTCAAGTGGGGGGACCAGCTCGAGGAGGGGGGCGTCGAGCTTGAGTCGGCGATGCATCGCCGAGAGGTCGGCGATCCCGACGCCGGCCCCTCACCAGCCCGTGCCCGCAGAAGCAGTCCGCACGGTCCTGGGCGGGGCGGGGCTGTGGGGCCCCTCTCGGCGAGCACTGGGGGATGGGGGGGGCCGACGCGTTCCCCCCCCGAGGCCCTCCCCCCTGACGCGGCCCCCGATGGAGGCGGGCGCGGGGCGGCGCCACGCCCCAGCAGCTCGCCAGGGCCCGGCGGGCGGCTCAAGACCCAGGGCGCAGAGGCAGCGGCGAGGCCCCCCCAGAGCTGGCCGGGGGCAGGCGTCCTTGGAGGAGCACAGAAGGCAACGCGTTGGCTGTCGGAGGTCCGCGCGGACCCCTTGGACCGGACCTCCTCGGCGCGCTCCGCGCGCCAGAGGCGTCGCCAAGGGGGAGGGGGATCCGGCGCCGATCCAAGCGATCCGCGCGGAGCTCCGAAAAAGTTCATGCTCGTGCCGTGTCCCTTCTTCGAGCGAGTCCTGGACGCCCCGCCTCGGCCACGCTGCCGAGGAGGAGGTGCTCGCCGCAGGAGAGGGCGAAGCCCCGCTGGCTGACGGTCAGCACCTTCAGGTCCTCGAGGGCGCCCTGGTGACCAAAGTTTTCCCTTTCCTGGGTAACGGTCGTTACCAGGGGGCGGGGGCGGGGCGGGAGGGTAACGGTAACGGCGGCCGCGGCGTGCACCCGCCAGGGTGCGTCCGCGCCACCGGGGCATCAATCGCCCGCGTGCACCACAGCATCTAAAAGGGGGCCCATACGATCGTCAACAAAAACCAGAAAGAATCGACACCGCTACTCCCCAGACCTCTCCCAGGTGCGTTCTGACCAGGATTTCGAGGCGAATCCGACGGTGGCGACGTGGGCCTCCGAGGAATCTGTAAAAGGGGAGAACGGGCACAGGGTAGCGGTTTCGGTACCTCTTCCTCCTCTGCGCTACCCGGTGAGAGGGGGGGCGTGGCCGGGGTAACGAGCGTTACCCTGGGGAGGAAGCACGAAAAACGCGCACCTGGCCCGAGGACGACAGCGGCCATGCGCCCACCACCGAGGAGAGCAGCTCGAGCTCCCGTGGCCCGCTGGGGCTGCACCGGAAGACGCTGGCCTCGGTACCCCGCGCGCCCCGGGCCGTGCAGGCCGCGTAGAGGCTGCCGCCGAAGCAGCGGAAGTCGTCCAGCTCGCCGGGAAAGCAGACCTGTAAGCCGGCGGCGAGCCGACGGGGAAGTTCGGCGTTCTCTGGCGGTTTCGTCGGCTCCCAAAATTTTCCAGCCTAGGGGTGTCTTCCAGCGGCTGCGCCTGGCCGCGGGCTTTCTGGGGCTGCCCGGATCGTCCCGAGCGGCCGCCCGGGACCCGAATTATGATCGAAAACCAAGTTCGGCGGCGCACCGAGGAGGGAAGTGAGAAGTGAGAGGCCCTCTCAGAAGAAGCGGCGGGGCTTCTCAGAAGCCCTCGCGCCTTCTGAGAAGTGTTCCACGTCTTCGGGCAAGGCCTGCAGCACTTCCCAGAAGGCCCGAGGCCTTCCGAGCCTTCTGAGAAGCCCTGCCCCCTTTTACTTCCCCCCCGAACTCGCCGCCGAGCAATGCAAAGCCGGGACCAGGACAAAATCGGACTCGGACTCGTGGGGGATCTCTGAGGCCTGGCGGCTCTGGAGCATGCATCGGGCGCCGCGACCGTCCCAGAGCGCTCCACAGCGCTTTGAGAGCGTTCTGGAGCACTCTGGAGCGATTTACGCCTGCCCTGAGACCTGCATGCCCGAGCTGGTGGTCGGGTACCGGAAGTCCACCACCTGGGGTACAGACGGAGCTCGACCACAAGAAACCCTCCGCAGGAACCCCAACCCTGAGACCCCAGGATGTCCATCGAATTTTGGCATGGGAGCGTCACGCCTTCCATGGCAAAACCATCGAAAACCAAGCAACCCAGGGCACCCTGGAGGCAAGCAGGACCTCTTGGCATGGGCCCCCCACTGTAGGAGCCAGGAAAGGCGACACCACCAACACCAGCAGCGCACGGCGCCAGAGAGGGTCCTCCTGGTGGCGTGCAGGCCCCCTCTCGCTAGAGAGAGCCCCTATCCCCAGCTCGGGGAGGCATCGGGTACCCTCTCAGAGGAGGTGCCCCCCCGCCCTGGTGGTGGTGTCGCATCTCCCTTCCTTCGACTGGGGGGATTCCCACGATCGCACCGCGTCGCCGACGCATCGGCAACGCATCGGCATCACGGCGCCGGGGCAAGCACAGCATCCTCGACGCAACGGCGATGCGGGGGGTGCGCGGACGAGGGCGGGCGAGGGGACGTGTTGAGAGAAGAAGAGGGGCCATGAAATCTCGATGATATTCACCACCCCGAAAACGTGTCCTGAGGCAAATCGGTCCTGGACCCCGAGGCCTTCCGCCAAGACCAGCTCTGCCCCCCAGTCCAGGAGGCCGGGGACCATCGCGATCCCGACGCCGGCCCCTCACCAGCCCGTGCCCGCAGAAGCAGTCCGCACGGTCCTGGGCGGGGCGGGGGCTGTGGGGCCCCTCTCGGCGAGCACTGGGGGATGGGGGGCCGACGCGCTCCCCCCCCCGAGCCCCTCCCCCCTGACGCGGCCCCCGATGGAGGCGGGCGCGGGGCGGCGCCACGCCCCAGCAGCTCGCCGGGGCCCGGCGGGCGGCTCAAGACCCGGGGCGCAGAGGCAGCGGCGAGGCCCCCCCAGAGCTGGCCGGGGGCAGGCGTCCTTGGAGGAGCACAGAAGGCAACGCGTTGGCTGTCGGAGGTCCGCGCGGACCCCTTGGACCGGACCTCCTCGGCGCGCTCCGCGTGCCAGAGGCGGCGCCAAGGGGGAGGGGGATCCGGCGCCGATCCAAGCGATCCGCGCGGAGCTCCGAAAAAGTTCATGCCTGTGCCGTGTCCCTTCTTCGAGCGAGTCCTGGACGCCCCGCCTCGGCCACGCGTTCCCCCCTGAGCCCGTCCCCCCCTGGCGTGGCCCATGAGGGAGGCCGGGCCCACCGCGATCCCTCCGCCGGCCCCGCGGCGGCCCATGCCCGCGTAGGCGAGGTGCGAGGCCCCAGCACGCAGCGGCCAGACCGTGGACGTCGGGGGCTGACCCAGGGCTGCCACCTGAGAAGCTCCTCCCACTGTTCCCCCTGTACTACGCATCCTCCTCCTACTACTCCTCCTCCTCCTCCTCCTCCTCCGCCTCCGCCTCCGCCTCCTCCTCCTCCTGTTCCGTCTCCTCTTCCTCCTCCTTCGCATCCTCCTCCTCTTGCTCTTCCTCTTCCACCTCCTCCTCCTCCTCCTCCTCCTCCTCCTCCGCCTCCTGTTATTCTGACTA